GGATTCTCCACCATGAACAGAATCAAAAATAAATATGGATCCAGACTCAAAATGAGCATGGCTTTGTCTCTATTCAAACCCAGGTTTAAAGCCTTGCAGGGCAGCATAAAGCCCACTGATCTCTGGTCAGTTCAAGTCAAGCGTTTGATTAAAAAAATGTGAACCAGGAAATTGTCTTAATAACAAACTTTATAATTGTTCTCTACTTCAAAAACAATTTACATTTTAAAATGGAAAAATGTTCTTTTTTTATATTTTTTTTATTTAAAAATGTTATGTATAACAGGGATGCATAAACACCTGCAATTTATTTCAGTGTTAAATTCTGTTTAAAGTAACATTTTATAATTAAAAATGTCTCCGGACCTTTACTGGTTGATTTTCTTTATTCGGACCCCGCTGATTTTTAATTGGCTGCCCCTGACCTACTGTAGACCTAAATCCAGTTATTACAAAGAGAAAGAAAAAAGGTTTGCTTATAGAAGGTCTAAAGGTAAAGATTTATCCAAACGTGTAGAAAGTTCGTTAAAAAAGAAAAACTGTAAGATTTCTCTTCAAACCCCTTCGTCTCTCTCTCTGCCTCCCTCCATCTAGGCCGGCATGATGGCACCAGGAACCAGGCGGCACATCTTCGACAAGAAGCTGCAGCTGGAGAAATGCGACACCTCCACCATCTCTCTGCAGATGGGCACCAACAAAGTGGCCTCCCAGCAGGGCATGACCACCTACGGCCTGCCGCGGCAGGTCTACGACACCAAATACTGCGCCAACCCCATGGAGACCTACTACAACAACGGGAGCGAGGAGGTGGAGTACGACGGCTACAACCAGTACTCTGACTAACCAGTACTCTGCCCCCCCGCCTTTGCTTTAACGTCAGACAACCCTCCACAGCTGTCTCTGCGACGGGCAAAGCTTCCAGACTGCTATTTGACTCTGAATGACCTCATTCATTGCCAGTCGTTTTTCTAAACCTCTTTTTACTCCTAAGAATTTTATATTTTTGCTTTTTCTTGAGCACGAGAAAGAATATTGTTTACACTGGCCTTGAGTTGAAAGTGTTTATGCTGTGGCCAACTTCTGTTGCCCTGGTTATTGATCTTATTGGTAGAAAATATCCAAGCAGCACAGAGACGGAGATGTATTGATCTTTGCTATTTATAGATTTTTTTTTTTATTGCTTTTATCGCTGTTATCAAAGATTTTAACTCTTGACATCCCTGACAGTTAATTGCTACCTTTCCGTACTTGTTTAGGCACCAAATAGAATATTAAAGTTGTTGAACTTTAGCCCAAATCCACATTAGATCTCTTCTAAACAGGTTTTCTGTCACCTACAGTTCACTGCTTTCACAAAGGAACACCTCTGTGTCGAGTTATGTAGTTAAAGGTTTGGTATATTGCACCCAAGTCCACTTAAGGAGCCCTTTTTTTTCTTTTTTAGGCTGTTTTTTTATTTCCTTTTTGCTTTTTTTCATGGTGGAAGCCGACATTAGTGCTGTTGCTTTACGAGCACTTAGCATTTACCAGGGAATGCTACTATCTACATGTATTAGGATGCCTTTTTTTGCTAATATCCAGAACATCTAATATATTAACCAGCAATTTCATTACAAAGAAGTAGAATTGTAAGTAATTTCTAAAAGATTTAATTGAAGCAGTCTTTCTGCAGACGTAGGAGAATCTCTAATTTTAACGTTCTCAAATTAAGGGTCTGAGTGTGAATAGCAGCAGATCCAAAGCTACTAGTTTACTCTTTATAATGGAAAATAAGGCTAAAGAAATTAGAACTGTGATTTTTTTTTTAACAATTCTTCCTGATCATTAATCATCACTTAATTGTAGGTTAAATATGCCACTTGCTCTTATGGGATTTATTACCCAATCAGCTGTGATTGAGAACAGATGTTCTACAGGTTAAAAGGCTGTGGATATAAACAGCTACCACTGTGTGACTTTTAGAAGTGCGCCATCTGGTGTCCATTGCATGTACTTACTGTATCATCACTCCTAGTTGTCTTTGCTTCAAACTGCAGTGAATTTCAGTGTAATAATGATTATTTTTTATGTGGATTAAACTAAATATTTCTTCTAATAACAACAGCACTGACGTGGACTTATTAAATGGACAAATTTTAAATAAAAATGTTTATTTTAATGTTTTTTTTTTCCTCCCCCTCCAAATTTTAGGCTAACCTGTTCCCTTCTACACCCTGTCAGCCTTTCACTAAATGGCATTTGTGCAATAAAAACACTTGAAAACAGCAGCTGGGATTTTTTTTTTTCTTTTTTATTATTTGCTGTCAGCACCTAAAGGTACATAAATGTGAAATACATCACATTGGCGTGAAAGAAAGTACATGATTGTGAATTTACAGGGTAAAACAAATATCTTTTCAGTGCATCAATGATAGAGTTCCAAACTAAAAAAAGAAAAATACTAAAACAGTCTCCGACTTTAGAATATTCATGGAATAAAAGAAAATGGAAGATAATTTTTTATATATAAATGATTTTTTTTTTTTTAAATGGTGAGATACTCCATTGTTTTTTGGTCCTTCACAAGAAATAAAAAGTTTACTCCAAAAGGAATTTAAATTTACAAAAAGACAAACAGGAAACATGTTAACATTTATAGGGAGAACCACGATAGACGCAGGTAAGCATGGCATCACCCTGACCCGACCGGAGGAATGTGACGGAAAAAGTGGAACTAAGAATCGACAAACTTTAGAGGAAACATATGATCCCAGAGTGAGGTATGCAGGACTACTGATTGGCTGCTTCGCAGGCGTCGATCCAATCGCTGTACACGTCCACAGGTTCAGAAAGATCTGGAGAGGAGTCGTTTAGGAAGATCATTTTTATAATGATGTTTCAGTGGGATAAATATTGTGTTTCTCAGATTAAGAACTTTGATTTATTGTGATGACAAAGTAAATTTCTCTTAACAATTCAGTTTGATTTCTTTTATTCACTAATTCTATAAAAACACCAATAAAATGTAATAAAATAAAAGCTCAGTTTGTGTCTCTTTCTGCAAAAATCATTGGAAAGCTGTTCAATGTCAGACTAGATTGACTGAATGATAAAGAGAATATAATAGTATAAAGTGCATACAGGTTTATATGAACGGATCAAAAACTGGCGAACAATTGAATGAATTCAAGAAATGAATATTGTCCAAAATGAAAATTCACCAGGGATTTTCAGAGCAACAACATGTTTTTTATAAACTAGAACTGCACAGTGTAACAGGACTGGTGCTAAAGCAGATCAAAGCTTAGAAACAAGCAGCGATTTAAACAGATTGGAGACTTTTTATCGGGTTGTTTGGAGATTTTTCTGTAGGGTCCTTCAGGGGTCAGTGTTTGGTCCTAAACTATTTATTCCTCACATAAACATTGTGTTTCAGATATAAAACAAAAAGAAATCTGTTTTATTTGCAGATAGCACAAACAATGGGGAAGGATTCAGAAAATATTAGAGTTGATTACTTTAGAAACGCCGGAATTTAGTAAGATAGTTTAAAAGAAACAATTTATCAGTGAAAGTAAATAAAACAAAATCCAATTGTATTTGAAAACAACATCACAAATATGGAAGCAAATGTAAAACTCAATCATGCAACAATGGAAACATTTTAGGAATGAAAACAGAACAGAAGATCATCTGGAAACTATAAAAAACAATCATAGAATCCAAACCATCAATATTTTACTTTTTTAAATCTCTAATCTCAAAGTACTGAATTTCTCTTTATGCACCATATCTGGAATACTGAGCAGAGGTGAAAACACAGAAAAGAAATCTATAAGACTGATTAATCATGATGTTTACTATGAGCATAGAAATATGCTACTAAAGAAGTTGAATGTCCAGATGTTTGTCGATCTGGTCAAATATAAAACCACACAAATGATGTCAGAAACGAAGTGCTTCTTATTAATTTAGAAAACATATTTTCAAAGAGAGATGGAGGCCATTGTCTCAGAGGAAAATATAATCTTGAGTTTGTTGACGTTAGAATAACTATGAAAACATTTTGTTTTCATCTGTGGATGAAACTGAAATAGTTTCAGTGCAGAAATGCCCAAAAATCTCCCAGATTTAAAGATATTTCCCTGAAATAGTTATTTAGATTAATATGATTCATGTATTTAAACCTGTTGCACCGTTTAAGCATGTGTGTAATGCTTTGCTCTGCTATGTATATAGTCACATAAACGTGTGTAAATGAATAATAAGAAACATTTCTGTTAAAAGTTAAAGACCAATGTTGATTATTTTAAAATAAGTATTATGCCCAAAGTCTACTGGCATAACTATTATCATAACAAGACAAATGCTGATTTATATTCTGAGCTACTGGGGTGGAATTTATTAATTCAGAATTCTTCCTACTCCATTCAGCACATCAAATTTAGCTAGCATGCTGTGAAAAGTGTAAACACACTGTTGACTGTATGATTTGTTATAATTTTCTCTTTTATTTTCCATTGATGTTCGAAATAAACAAATAACCTGAACTAAAACAGGGTTTATACAGGAGTGGGTAACTCTAACTTAATGCTTTCTAATTCTCTTAGAAATAATTTTAATGCCATCAACAAGCACCCATGACTCTCTTTTATATGTATTATACTCTCTATGTGTATGTATATAGTTCTTCTTTTCTGAACATACGGCTTTATGATCAACCTGAAGCAGTTCTGTGTAAATATATTGCAATATAATATATCTGATTCAAATTTTTTTTTTATAAACTTTTTATTTTTTTTTTATAAAACATTTGAAATTCCACTATAATCACCTTTAATGAATTTTAATGCCAATTAAGACTTTTTTATTATTATTTTTATAATTTAATGATTTTTTAATGACCCATGGAAACCCTGTACTAGATGAAACAAACCAACAGTTGGTACTGTTTTGGCTAGAAAGCCCTGAGTTGGAATCCCAGCCTGGAGTCTTAATGCAGGAAGTTTGCATGTTCTCTTTATGCATGCTTGGGTTCACTCTGTGTACTAAAGCCTCTTTAAACAGTCCAAACACATAACTGTAACGTTAACTGATCGACTTTAAATTCCCTTAGATGTTACTGTGTGTAGATGTTTTGTTTTTCCTGGATGTTTTAACCCATGATGGACAGACCACCTGCTTGTTTGTTTTCTTTTCCTATTTAGTTCTTTTGCATATAGAGCACTTTGAATGGTTCTGCTACTCTGATGTGTTTTCCATATAAACCTAACTTTCCTCGTCCAGGACCGCTTGCTGAACCACATCCTTAGTACTGTGTTAAACTAACATAGCAGATACTTCCAGTCTGTAGTTCTTTGAAATATTAAACAGAATTCCTTCTGTATCAAGCATTGTTGCGAACTTTAACTTTTTTCCCCATAATCATTAGGTTGCATTTAAAAAAACAACTTACAAAAATTGATAAATTTGTGACAAAAATGCAGTCTGATCTCTATTACCATTATTTACTTTTTAAGACATGATCAAATGAACCAACACTTTGCAGATGCAGCAGTTTCTACAGGTGATAAAGGATACATGTAATCGGAGTCTGAAACTCCTCCAAACAAACACTGCAGGATATAATTCCTGTGTTTCTGGTTCTTTCCCTGGAAAACATAATAATAAACAGACCATTATTTACATGCAGATCAAATTTAAAGGCCTTGACCTTCAGGAAGAGTTACTCACATCTTTACATCGCATGATTTCTCGTGGTTACAGAAGGGACATGTGAACTGGGTGTCCAGGTTTCCCGTCATTTTCTTTTTCGGAGGTGGTTTTCTTTTAGACTTTCTGCGCCCCATTGTGTCCCTGCAGAAAACACAAACCATGCTTTTCCTCATCAGATGGTAACAATTGTTTCTACAGCATAATATAGATTAGAGTGAAGAAAAATCACTTTAAATGCATTGAGGTTTTAGACATAAAATAAACGACAGTTAAAAGATATAAATACTTCTGCAGCTCATCAAACCTTTCAGTTTATTTCACAATAAAGTAAATTTTATACCAACTTAAAGACTCGTTCATTCATACACAATTTAAGCAATATAGCTCTTTAAATGTTTGCAAGCGTTTTATTTATTTTTTGCTCAAGAGAAATATTCTAAAGACAGAAAAAAGAAACGGCATAATGATGCTTCCAAAGCTGATGCTAGTAGCTGTTAGCATGTATATGCTAACCAGAGACTGACACAAACGTTGGTTTCTAGCCTTTATCTAGCAGACGGCGGTCTGACCGTAACCTCACTGAACATCTTTCTCCCTCTGTTTCCTGATTTATTTAGTTTAGATATAATTGTTACCGTTATCCTACCAGAATGATGGCAGCGAAGGAGGATGCTCAGGAGTTCGTTTACCAACTCGTTACGGATACAGCGTCAGTAAGGACGTCTGCGATTGGCTAGCGGGAACATTACGTAATCAAGAGGGTTCCAAACTATCCAATAGTGGCGCACGTCTCTATACTTAACACCCGCCTCCTTCAGGATCGTAGAATAGAATGGAATGGATATGTGTCTATCAAGTGTAGCTCAAAGGAAGATTTAAAAATAATATATTTTTGTTGAAAAACGTATAAATCTGAACAATTATCAACATGTTTGAGCTTTTCTGTCAAAGTTTTTATTAAGAAAATCAGACTTTATTATCTAATTTGTAATAGAATTTTTATGAATAAAGTTTTTTGAGAAAAAAAAAACAGGAATATATAGGTTCGGGAAACATTTATGTATATAAGGAACAGCTAAAACTGAATATAAACCCATGAAGAACAACACATAACAGTAAAAGAAGTCCAGTCACTAAATGTGAGATAATAGAAAAGAGAAACCAGCAGAGGGGGATTATCCAGGTCCAGAAAGTAAAAACTCTGATTAGTTCCTTTTATCCTGGTCACTTAACCAGGTGATTAGCCTAAGAGCCATTTACCAAACCGCTCCACTTGCACAGCTGGATGAAGCTGACACCCCACCCACATCAAAAGACTCTGCAAACAGACTGAATGCTTTGTGCTGTTAGTGCAGAAAAAATATTGTTTGTGCTACTTTTGTTTGAGACATAATAAAGAAAACCAGCCAATGGAATCAGCTGGTTTTCCCTAAGTAGAAAACTTTGAACCAGTCATGATCTGGTTGAATTCTCTCTGTAAAGTGCCTTGAGATGTAATTGTGTTATTGTTGTTGGCGCTACATAAATAAACTGAATTGAATTTAATAAATGTCCAAACAGCCTGTCATAGCGGACTGCATATAATCCAACTGATCTACTCAGCAGCAATGTTCTCCTACCTCATTTCCCTCTGTTTTGCAGCTGTAGTGCTGCTGTTTTTTTTATTTCTACATTAAAATCTCTAGTTCCAGTCATGCGAATAGGCACTTCCTGTTGTCATAGTGACATTTTGAATCAGTGCTCCAATAGCTTTTCATATTTGTTAAAAAAGCTGCCTAATTCTGAGTTAACCGACTCAGAGTTGATTAAATAAACTCACAGCAGCTTTTATGAAACTGAAAATGCAGTGTTTCTTTTCCTTAGGCTGTGTCTCTTCCTTAGGCTGGATCATTTTAGAGTTGAAGATTTGAGTCTCAATTTGTTAAACCTGCTTTGTTAAACATGCCTCTTGTGGCAGACATTATTAAACCAGAAGTGAGGAAGTGGATAAAGATGAACAGAAGATGGGACAAAATACAAAGAAAAGAAGAGAAAGAGGGAGGATTTTCATTTTTTATTAAAGACTGCCTGCTGGAGGAGAACAGAAAACTGAATGAAGAGCTGTTTGGGAAGAAGATGGATGAGCAATACTTAAAAATGATGTGATGGTCAAATATTACAAGTCTTCCTTATTTTCCACTTCTTATGTGACAGTATTCTCACCTATATGTGCCCCAATATTGTTCAGAAAGTGTTTTCTTTATTTGTTTATGTGTAAATCATCTAACGTGGTTTTCCCTATATATAATAAATAAATTACGTACAACTGAAATATTGTACTGCTTTTGTTAGAAGTCTTTAAGCATTGCACGGATATGCAATAGCAATAAAAATGCAGATTGAATAAATGGGAATACACATATGTGAATACCTATCATTTTGACAGGTGGAAAATGGTGCAATCACATATAAACAAAGAAAGAAAACCAACAGCAGCACTACTGTGTAAGACACTGGAGAAAGCAGCTCAACGTTTTTAAAAAACAGACACTTGAAGTTAGTCCAAAAAATTTAAAATACCACAGAGGTAAAAAAGAAAAAAGAAAAAAAAAAGTAAATAAAATATGGTACTGCAATTCTTTAAAAAAAACTGTTATGCAAATACGGTTTGTAAATTGCAGCTTCCACTTTAAAGGCACACTATGCAACATTTTTCAGTTAATTAATGTGTTCCATAACGTT